GGAGGGGAATCCCTAACTCTATACAAAACTGGCGATCTACAAAATTCCCAGCTGCGCCTGAATCTACCAGCGCCTTATGCTGGGAACGAGGTGCAACCTGTGGAAAACAAACAGGCAAGGTTAGGTGAACGACAGAAAGCTCTGGGTAAGTAGGGCGCCTACTCACCTGGGGGGACCCCCCAATGCCTGACCTGCCTTCTCCCCCACCGGGGGACCCTCCCCAACACCTAGCCGCGGTGTGCCCTCCACGGCCACAGTTAGTGCAGGGAACGGCCCCCCTCGGGTTCCTACTCCTCCGTTCTCTAGCGCCAGCACCCCCGAGCTCCATAGGGCTCGGCTCGGAGGTGCTGGAGAGTGGAATGGGCGAACCCCACCCGGGACGTCCACGGGTGGCGAGCAGGGTATCCAGCCGAATGGCCATGTCGACAAGTTGGTCAAACGTCAACGAGGTGTCCCTGCATGCCAACTCTCGCTGGACGTCCTCCCGGAGGCTGCAACGGAAGTGGTCTATAAGGGCCCGCTCATTCCACCCTGCATCGGCCGCTAGAGTCCGGACTTCCAAGGCAAAGTCCTGGGCGCTCCTCATCCCCTGTCGGAGGTAGAACAGACGCTCCCCCGCCGCCTTCCCTTCCGGTGGATGGTCAAACACCGCACGGAAGCGGCGGGAGAACTCCGCATAGGTAGTGGTAGCGGCGTCCATTCTCCTCCATTCGGCGTTGGCCCACTCCAACGCCTTGCCGGTGAGACAGGAGATGAGGGCTGAGACGCTCTCGTGTCCCGAGGGCGCCGGGTGTACGGTGGCGAGGTAGAGCTCCACTTGCAGCAGGAACCCTTGACACCCGGCAGCGGAGCCGTCGTACGCCCTCGGGAGCGAGAGCCGAATCCCACTGGGTTCCGGAGATGGGACAGGAAGACTGACCGATGGGGATGGTTCGGCAGGTGGGGTCGTGGGTACCCCGCTGGTTTCCCATCGGTGGAGAGTGTTCATCACCCCCTCCAGGGCATGACAGACCTGGTGAATCCGGTCCTCCTGTCCACGAAGACGTTCCTCCAGGCTTGCTGTTGGCGCGGTCGCTCCTGCTGATTCCATGGATGTTGTGTGATTCTGTCAGAGTGTTGCGTGTGGATGTAGTGAAGGGAATCAAGCGCAGGGACAAGGATGTTCTTCAACAGACTTTAGTACTTTCCAAAACAGGAATGAGTCGCCAACCCAACCGGGCGGCACGAACAATTACGCACAACACACAGTGCGGAAAACAAGAAAAAGCGCACGCAGTGCGAACTCTCGAAATAACAACAAACGAGAGAGAAAACTCCTCGGAGGCAAGCTGACAATAACAATCACACATAACACCTGACCCGAATAAACGAAACTAAATAGGGAACACAATCAAACACAAACAAGGGACAGGTGTTACAAACAGACAAAACCAAACGAACATGAAACATAGAACGGTGGCAGCTAGTACTCCGGAGACGACGACCGCCGAAGCCTGCCCGAACAAGGAGGAGGAGCAGCCTCGGCCGAAACCGTGACACATACTATGAGAATGGAATGGACGCAGTACACCGATGGGGAATTAAACAAACCCATGATAAATGTAAAACGGAACTGGTGATAACGGTAAAGTCAATTATGCAAGATGACATAGCAAGGAACTATTGGGCCTGTGTTGATGATTTCGGGGCAGATATATGTTTGAGGTTCATTTTTCAGGAGAAAAATGAATCTTCCACCTTCGAGACAGATCAGCAGGTAGATCCAATGTTATCACCAGAGGTACCAAAAAACTAGTCTAATATCCCTTGGAAGGCCCTCAGAAGGAATCCTAAATAGCTCTAAACCACCAAGGGTAGAATATTTCCTCTTGCAGGAAATGAACCAAGGAGAAGTAGAAGGAATTTCAAATGTTAACTTTTGGGTAAGGTGGATGAACTACACAGCTAGGGTGTTGGGTCAAACTAATTGTTATGCCTGTTCAACAGGTAGGCCAACCCTTGTAACTGCACCTATGCCTCAGACCATGTTCTCTTGTGTGATAGATTTGGGATCAAACCAAACCTCACCTAATTGTTCTGATATTAAAATAACCACTCTTAAAAAGGATAATACTAAGGCACCCCAATTCACCATGAACCCCGGAGATTATCAATGTTATAGACACCAAAGTAATGCGAATCACAGATCAACTTGGAGAAGGGTTTACAACAACGTTTTTCTGGTGGGTTACAATTGATAAAAATGTTGACTGGATTAATTAATTAGACAGGGGATGCAGTGAAGAGAATCTCAGGCCAACTATCCGCCACCTCACTCATGACCTGCAGAATAGTTAGGTTCTCTATATGCTTTTAGCAGAGAAGGGCGGATTTGCAAGGTGGTGGGAGGTCATTGTTGTATGTTTATCCCCAACAATACAGCCCCAGATGGTACAGTAACTAGAGCGCTGGCAGGTCTCACTGCATTAATTAAAGAATGGGCTGAGAACTGGGGGGTGAATACATCAATGACTGGTTGGTTTGATCAAATGTTTGGTAAATGGAAAACTATTGTTGTAACTATTTTAGGCGCGGCAATCACGTCTATGGGTATGCTTGTTCTTTGTGGATGTTATCTTATTCCCTGTGTCCGAGGGTTGGTGAGCAAGGTGTTGGAGAAGGTGGTATCACAGCAGATGGTGATATATGGCCCAATCCCGGACTCCGACCTAAGGAATGAAGAATATGATCCACCAGGCTTGGTGGAGGACGACGACGATTCAGATAGTTTGAGACTGGATGTTAACCTAGAACTATAAATCTCTAGTTTAAAAGTTATTGTAATGATCTTTTGTGTATTCAAGTCTTGTTTTAAGTGTGATGTACTAATTCATCAATATTGCAGGATGTGATGAAGCAAATGTTCTTCACTATAGGCTTAGACTGTTGTTTCCAGATAGTGGGTAAACAGGTTAGGTACCATTGCTAAAGAGTAACATTACGCTTTTAATCATGGGGTAACCCTGACGAACCTGTATTGAATGAGACAATTTTTTATGTTTTTATATGCAAATCAACTTGTATGCCTTGTTGTGTGTTTCATTTTATATAGAATGTAGTTTAAATGTGTGGGTGTAATTTAGTCAAAGGGTGAATTGATAAAAGAAATGTGTGAGTAAGATATGACTAAAATGTTACACCCTCAGTTAAACTAATAATGTATGGCTAATGAGTATACTAGAGCTTAGAGAATTAATCAAATGTGTTTATGTCCCAGCAACAGAGTATAGACTGGTTCCCAAAACATACAGGGATGGGGAGTGGAAGGCTTGCAGGATATTGTGAGAATGTGATAACTGAAGGTTGCAGCCTGCCTGAGCAAGGAGTAGGCTATGATAAGAAAGTGTGTGTGTGTATGTATGTGTGTATGCATGTGAGTATATGTGTGTGTGTGTGAACTGATGGTCAGGAGAGCAGTTTTAGAGTGGAAAACTACAGCCCGCCTACAGTGGGGAGGGATTTTTTTTGTATGACGTATGATATAAAAGATGGACTCTGAAATTGTGATGGCAGAACGTTCTCAATGAATAAAGCCTGATGATTGTATGCTGGGCTGCTTGGTCTGATTATTAGAGATTTACAACCTCTGGGATACAGACTGAGTAATAAGTTCATTTTTGAAACATTGGGATAGAAATTCACATAACATAGCCCAGAACGTTTTTTATGTTATTACATACCTTTTGAATATCAAAGCGGCGGTAGCTTACCAGCATTCTGACCAGAAATATGACTTTCCCAAATTGAATCCTTTGGTCGTACCCCCCCAAGGCAACTGAACTTATGCCAGTTGCCGCTCCAAGACGCTGCCGGCAGAGAAAAGGTATTCGGAGTGGACTTGTAGTCCTACTCAGGAGGCGTGCACACCATCCACCTCTTCCGAGTATATTACTAGCTAATGTTCAGTCCCTGGACAATGAAGTAGATGAGCTCAGAGCGAGGATCTCCTTCCAGGGAGACATCAGGAACTGTAACTACTGTATTCTAGTCAATGCCACTCTGACTATGCTCGTCCTAATACTTACATATTTCTTAATTCCATTATTTTACTTTGAGATTTGTGTGTATTGTTGTGAACTGTTAGATACTACTGCACTGTTTGAGCTAGAAACGCAAGCAAACGCAAGCGTGACCAATGCAATTTCATTTGATTTGATTTGATTCCATAGAGATGTACTAGAGAGCTCATCTCCTATCTTTGCAATGTGCATAATCTGAACAGGTTTGTTTGATTTATTACCACCTGATGTTGGGGAAGGTTTGCTCAGGAGTATAATTCCTGCTCACCTAGATGGAATTCTGTGATCTTAACCCATAGCAAGTCCCATCCAGTTGACTACTTCAAAATGTTGAAAGCCCTGAATGGTGCTGTCCATGCTAAAACAGGTATTGCACAGATATAAATGCTGGGTTAAAAACAACCCAATTTGGGTAAATATTGGACAGAACACACGTTGGGTTATTTTGACCCAGCCAGTTGGGTCAATTAGTTGGGTTGTTGGGTTATTGGTTCTGGGTTATTGAGCTGACTGGATGCGTGGCTTAATAGGGGCGTGGCTTTAAAGTAGTTATGTTTGGCCACCAGTTTGTGTTCTGTTGTACTGTAATCACATGTTAAGGTTTAGCAATGACACTTTTGTAGAATTTTTGAGGTGCCTATGCATATCCCAATGTTGGAAAGGTTACCACTTCATTATAATATTTAAATAATGTAATTACATTTATAAAATAAATTGTGCAGTGTGCAAACTTAACATGATGAACAGGAATTATATTTACTCTCTCACACGTCCCTACCCAGTTTTCAAAGAAAACAACCCAACTAAGTGCCCCAACTGGCTGGGTCAAAATAATCAAACTTGTGTTCTGTCCACTATTTACCCAGCGCTGGGTTGTTTTTAACCCAGCATTATTTTTCTTTGTGGGCCTAGTTTGCCCTATATCCAATTTTATGTTCTTACCACAGTAGACTGTGTTGGAGCGAGGTCTTGGACATGATAGCCTCTGGTGAACATGGCTTCCAGACCCACAATCAACACGTGGTAGACAGTAAACGTGTAGCAGATGTACTTGGAGAAGATGAAGCTCTCAAAGAAAAACCTGTTGGGAAATAGCATTGTTTTTCTACACTGAATTAAACCCAGCTACCCAGTATAGTGTACCCATTTAGTGAGCACGGTGTCCATATTAGGACAGCCTCAGTCTCAGCAGGAGAGACTCTCCTAACGTCGACACCACAATTTATAATTTTTCCATTCAATCAATGATTAGGATCTTTATGTATGGGACCAATGTTCCCTCTGATTTTTTTCCTCACTGAGCAAATTTCAGGTCTGCTGAGCGCAATGTGAAAATACTTGTTCTTGTTCTATAGTTCAGCCTACAGTAGCAGCCAATGTGTGGTGTTCAATATAGGCCTACATTCCATGAGACTTTTGAAAAAAACATGCAGGGCTTGACATTAACCTGTTTAGCCACTTACCCTTCAGACAAGGAGCGTTCTGCCTACAACAAAATCTCTTGCATAGTTTGTTTTGTTTCGGTTTGTTGCATTGAAAGTGGTTAATATTGAGTTGATTCGATCACAATTCCCCACAGTAAAGGGTAACGTTGATAGTGTTAACTAACCGAAAAAACTCTAGAGAGTTGAGTGAAGTTCAATCTTGTGCTTCTCTGCGGGGGCTGATATTTATTCTGCACAGGCAGTCCCAGGGAGCTGAGGGAACATTGTATGGGACCATCCTTATATCATTGTCAGTCATTACCAGATGAGCATCCCCAGGAGCAGTAGGGTAAGGACCATGGAGCTGACCAGAGGGTCAGGTAGACTAGCCTGGTACCTCGGCACCAGTCCCAGACTGTCCAGGGCCTCCAGGAGAGTCCACCAGCCAAACGTAGCCAGTCCGTTCTGGGTCTGCCCCACACAACATCAACACATCAACACACAGTTAGACTAGAGGGACCATCATGAAGACATATGATATAGGCATATTAAAACAAGACATACAGTACCAAGGTTAATAAATTACTATCTTATATTTTCTTATCTTAAGGTTATTGAGGTCATTGTTGCAAATTATCCCATCAAAACATTATCTCTTATGAGAGATAACAGGTGTCACTGTGCCACTTACCGCTTCCTTCTTCACAAGCACTTACTGGTATTTGATATGAGATCCTCTGTCTTGCAAACACATGTGACCGCCCCCTTGAAACACCTTCAGCCAGCTGTGCCACTGAAAAGCTAGCAATTCGGTGGCGTGGGTGGTGGTATTTCAAGCTGAGGAGTACATTTAACCAATTCAACTTGGTTACATAAGGACATATTGCCCTGAAGCTCATTGGCTAATAGCAGCATGATAAAAACAAGCAATTGAGCTACATCTTGACATCAATATGTAGATTATATCTTGAATTCATCAGATAGTGGGTCCTCCAGGGTTCTTTAGGGTTGTTGATGGCCAGCCAGGTGCTGTGGCAGTGCAGGTTTCGAAAGGAGACATACAGCATTTGGAAGCTGTGAACTGGCATATCCCATTTAAAAACAGGGATGGTAGAAGGTCACTGTAAAAATAAAAAGGATGATCCATCATTTTTGTATTGCCTTACTTGGTTTTGCACAAAAGCCCACTGCATTTATTTTGGCCTATATCTTAAAGGGGAAGATTAGTATTTTAAAACAATGTTAGATGGGTTCCTCACTCTGAAAGTACTCTGTGGGCCAACAGAAACTGTAATCCACTGTTCGATTTTCTTTAAACAGAAACTATCAAAGTTAGCTGAAGTTTGTATTTGCTTTTTAAATAACACTGAACCATGGATTAGAGTTTCTCCTGGCCCAAAGACTACTTTCAGGATGCGGAACCATCAAACATTAAGTTTTAAAATACTGAACTTCCCCTTTAAATGTAAAAAAATACCAAACCACTTACTGCCTGTCTGAGAGAAACAGCCAAGTGATCTTTGATACGTTGATCATGGTCCAGATCAGATAGAATGACAGAGGGTGAATTTCAGGGTTGCAGGAGACTGGACCAAACACATTCCTTCATGCAGAGACAACATCAATCACAACTGAGTGATATAAATCACACATGATGTACAGCCTCATCATTTCATTTTCATCACTTAGGCATTCATGTGTGCAGGGCCGCATGAGTAACCAAACATATTTTGGTATTTCTATTATTCCCCCTCCTCTCCACATACACACATACTAACACTGTGAAAGATGGGAATTCTCTGTAAAGATAGATAGATGGATGTGTTAGGCTACCTCTGGAAAACAGTTTAGTGTGTGTGTGTGTGTGTGTGTATGTGTGTGAGAGAGAGAGAGAGAGAGAGAGAGAGAGAGAGAGAGAGAGAGAGAGAGAGAGAGAGAGAGAGAGAGAGAGAGAGAGAGAGAGAGAGAGAGAGAGAAATACCTCTAGAACACAGTAAAGAGAGAGTGTATGAGCCAGTGTTCCACATCCGGAGCATGATCCAGGTGTAGTCTGCCCAGCAGTACATGGTCACCTCCAGAGGAAAGGACTCATTACCCAACGTGAGACATTACCCAACGTGGTCCTAAACAGATCTAGGGAGTAAAGCCATTGCATGTTTGGTAGAGGGACACAATAATCCACATACTACAGTGTCCATATTAGCACAACCACCTGCTGAGACTGAGAATGCCCTAATATGGATACCACATCACCTCCAGTTTTCAAAGTTTCCTTTCAGAAGTTTCTGGAAAGTGCTTTTATCAACTCATCTGCATATGTAATGTAAGTTGGTGATATGCAGATGAGGAGATAGAAATACAATCATTGGTGTTCTATCCAGAGCTGGGCTGAAAACATTTGACATCTGGAATGAGTGGTAGGCCAAAGGTCTATCATTACATAAAGTCATACCACTGTGGATATACATTGAGTGTACGAAACATTAGGAACACCTTCCTAATATTGAGTTGCAGCGCTATTGCCCTCAGAACAGCCTCAATTCGGATGGACTCTACAAGGATGCTGACCCATGTTGACTCCAATGCTTTCCACAGTTGTGTCAAGTTGTCTGGATGTCTTTTGGGTGGTGGACCATTCTTGATACACACGGGAAACTGTTGAGCGTGAAAAACCCAGCAGCATTGAAATTCTTGACACACTCGAACCGGTGCGCCTGGTACCTAATACCATACCAAGTTCAAAGGCACTTTAAATCTTTTGTCTTGCCTGTTCACCCGCTGAATGGCACACATACACAATCCATGTCTCAATTGTCTCAAGGCTTAAAAATAATTATTTAACCTGTCTCCTCCCCTTCATCTACACTGATTGAAGTGGATGTAATAAGTGACATCAATAAGGGATCATAGCTTTCACCTGATATCACCTGGTCAGTCAATGTCATGGAAAGTGCAAGTATTGCTAAGGTGTATAACAAGTTGTTAGAACAACTTATCTTATCAAAGGGATCTTTTTAGTGACATACTGTATGTATTTGAAAACGTCCCTGTAGGATACATAATTTACAGGTAAGGTCATATTGGGTAAAATAGTCATTAAATATGACAAAGTGACAAAGTTGTCATAAGGGAATAGGGGGGCATTTGGGATGCAGACAAAGACAAAAGTAATTTATCCTTGGTTTGTTTTTTAGATTTACAAACACACTGTATCCAGTGTAATGATATGATTAAACTGACACCTGGCGAAACAGGAAGTAGATGGTTCAGAATAATAAAGATGGCTGAATGGATGCACACGCTTGATTATTGTGGAACACGTCTTGGGCACGTGGTTACTAGCAAATACCCCTCACAGACTAATCATGACACCTCACCACCTTCAACACACCATCCGGAAGGTACAGACATCTCTGCTTGCCATTTGGAATAAACAGCGGACCGAGAGGTGTTCCACAAGTATCAGGCATGTGCATCTATTCAGCGATCTTTATTATTCTGAACCATCAACTTCCTGTTCCGCCAGGTGGCAGTATAATCATATCATTACATCCAGTAGCCATACCACTACCAAACCATACTGTACTTGTTTATTCAGATCGTCTGCTAACCAACAGTTCCAGATGTAGTTCATTGTATTACAGAGATGGACAAGCAGTCTGGTAGATTTCACTCACTGCCAGAGTTGGGCCCTGATGCCAGAACATGGCCAGAGCGATACACACCATGTAGAACCACATGGTGACGATGTCCCACCATACTGCCCTGGGCATACATAGACACACGGGAGCGGTGTATGCTCCCTGTCAAGCTATCAACTATAGCTCCCCTTACACACCACACTCTTTTATAAGCACACACACACAAACACACACAAACGCACACACGCACACATGCACACACACACACAAAAACACTATCTGGGATCTGATGTGTTGGAATTTGGATAATGGCACTGTTCTTTGGATAATGGCACTGTTTGTCAGTTTATCATGGTTTACTGCAGTATAATAGGTTTATTGTGTGTGTGTACCCTTGGATGCCTTTACCGAAACTGAGGTGAAAGCCTGTGACAGAGACACACACACACTCCTATTCCGTCACAATGAGCTCAGCCTATCAGAGAGCCAGCTGACAGCCTCACAGATCAGCGCTATAGAATCGCCAGAGCAATATGATACTCGTTAGGGCACTACTATATGTGTGTATGTGGCTGCAATTTCACAAAAGTGTCTAACCACTAAGTTATACTACTATTGCACAGTGGTAAACTGTTGTTTTTGGCATCATTAAATCACATTTACAGATGAGTACATTAATAATAAATATAATAATAAATATAATAAAAACCTTTATTTGTATAGGCCCATAAATGCAGTCCAAAATGCTTTACAATATAGCACCGCTTTGACTCCAACGGTCACCCCGGCATGATTTAGTGCTTTCAACCCCTCTTAAATATTGTGTGTTTGAGCTACAGACTTCTTTTGCATTGGATTTGTCTATTTCCTCTGCATCCGCCGATACCAACCATTAGCCTGTGCGATTGACAGGGCTGAACTAGAGCAGTGTTTGTGAGACGAGGGCGGATCCGGAAAACGGTTCTTCTCACAAAAATGTCTGTAAAGTCCAAACGAGCTACAAACTATTAAGACCCCACTATGAAAAGCTGAGACGCTAACGAACACGCACATCTGTTTTGCTCTATGACACTCACAAGCTACACAAGAGTTGTTAGAATGTAAGGGGTTCTTCTACATAGAAGATCATAGGAATTCCCAGGACATAGTGTCTATGATACCGTAATAAGCTCACATAGTTATTCCAAACGCCACACAGTTGTCACTGACTAGTTGGATATTAATTTCCCACAGAGCAAACCATTTCTGTTGAAGGAAAGTAGTGAATTTCAGCTTTTTCACTGTGGGAATCCCTGGGACCAAAGAAGTGAAAAGATAAGTTAGAAACACAAAGGTAGTCAAGAACAGGGTTTAAAACAATGTGGTGGTACTAAAAGATTAATAAAATAATAAAAACATTATCATTATCAATATTGCTTTAGTGTTGATGCCATGAGAGCATTTCTGTAAAATTTTTTGACACACAGTAATTTATAGGATTTAATTAGCTTAGAAAGACATTAGCATTGGCTAGAGCAGGGCCCCACTAGTCATGTGGAAAACCAGTGATGAAGTGCAAATCTCCATCTACAGTGGGGAAAAAAAGCATTTAGTCAGCCACCAATTGTGCATGTTCTCCCACTTAAAAAGATGAGAGAGGCCTGTAATTTTCATCATAGGTACACGTCAACTATGACAGACAAATTGAGAAAAATTTTTTCTGGAAAATCACATTGTAGGATTTTTAATGAATTTATTTGCAAATTATGGTGGAAAATAAGTATTTGGTCACCTACAAACAAGCAATATTTCTGGCTCTCACAGACCTGTAACTTCTTCTTTAAGAGGCTCCTCTGTCCTCCACTCGTTACCTGTATTAACGGCACCTGTTTGAACTTGTTATCAGTATAAAAGACACCTGTCCACAACCTCAAACAGTTACACTCCAAACTCCACTATGGCCAAGAAACAAAATTGTAGACCTGCACCAGGCTGGGAAGACTGAATCTGCAATAGGTAAGCAGCTTGGTTTGAAGAAATCAACTGTGGGAGCAATTATTAGGAAATGGAAGACATACAAGACCACTGATAATCTCCCTCGATCTGGGGCTCCACGCAAGATCTCACCCCGTGGGGTCAAAATGATCACAAGAACAGTGAGCAAAAATCCCAGAACCACACGGGGGGACCTAGTGAATGACCTGCAGAGAGCTGGGACCAAAGTAACAAAGCCTACCATCAGTAACACACTACGCCGCCAGGGACTCAAATCCTGCAGTGCCAGACGTGTCCCCCTGCTTAAGCCAGTACATGTCCAGGCCCGTCTGAAGTTTGCTAGAGTGCATTTGGATGATCCAGAAGAGGATTGGGAGAATGTCATATGGTCAGATGAAACCAAAATATAACTTTTTAGTAAAAACTCAACTCGTCGTGTTTGGAGGACTAAGAATGCTGAGTTGCATCCAAAGAACACCATACCTACTGTGAAGCATGGGGGTGGAAACATCATGCTTTGGGGCTGTTTTTCTGCAAAGGGACCAGGACGACTGATCCGTGTAAAGGAAAGAATGAATGGGGCCATGTATCGTGAGATTTTGAGTGAAAACCTCCTTCCATCAGCAAGGGCATTGAAGATGAAACGTGGCTGGGTTAATGACAATGATCCCAAACACACCGCCCGGGCAACGAAGGAGTGGCTTCGTAAGAAGCATTTCAAGGTCCTGGAGTGGACTAGCCAGTCTCCAGATCTCAACCCCATAGAAAATCTTTGGAGGGAGTTGAAAGTCCGTGTTGCCCAGTGACAGCCCCAAAACATCACTGCTCTAGAGGAGATCTGCATGGAGGAATGGGCCAAAATACCAGCAACAGTGTGTGAAAACCTTGTGAAGACTTACAGAAAACGTTTGACCTGTGTCATTGCCAACAAAGGGTATATAACAAAGTATTGAGAAACTTTTGTCATTGACCAAATACTTATTTTCCACCATAATTTGCAAATAAATTCATTAAAAATCCTACAATGTGATTTTCTGGTTTTTTTTCCTCATTTTGTCTGTCATAGTTGACGTGTACCTATGATGAAAATTACAGGCCTCTCTCATCTTTTTAAGTGGGAGAACTTGCACAATTGGTGGCTGACTAAATACTTTTTTCCCCCACTGTACATGTGTTGTAGACATAGGGAGGATTTGATCACGTCGGTCTCAGCCATTAAATGTTAACGAAAACAACCGGGGCACACATATCCACAGCAGCTGCCTTCCCTCACATAAAGATGAGCTTCTGTGTCCTGGCAATGTCCACCGGTGACATGAGCTGCTCTCCTCCGTAAAGCGGTTTATTCTTGTGCTTCCATAACACCATGATGATGCGTACGATAAATATGACACTGGTTATGGCCAAGATGACAGCTGGAAAAGAGATGATGCTTCAGGTACAGTAGCCATAATAACAATGGAAAAGTCACTGCAGTGACCACTGATAGTGATACACACATTAGTGACACTTGTAAACATTGCCAATAGCATAAACTATACCCAGTTCTCATTATACTTACATGCAGTAAATATAACAGTAAATATAACATCTTATCATCTGCAGTTAAGGATGATATGCTTGTACAAGACCGATGGGAATCTACTAATAATGCATGTGTAAGGTATCCATATTAGGAGCCTCAGCTGTCCTAATATAAACACTGTACAGATGTTATCTTCCTCTAGGTGTCACTTTAGGAGTCAGTTAGGACATAGGGCCTACCAGACATGATGTCTATATGGGTACCGGGCGTGGCTGGATTGGCCACACTTGCTGACAACACCAGGATCACCACAGGGTACACTGTTAGGATGTAACGCATGTGCTTATCCAGGTACCAGTTCTCTATGACAAACCTGAGAGAGTAATAAGGAGGAGGAAAATCTAAAACAATAAGGCCCATGTTTACAATAAGCGGATAGAAGGAAAGGGTTCTGGTGATTGTATGGTGGCCCTAAGCGGCAAATTAGCTTTTACATTTTAAAGCTACTTTGCCCCTAAGGGCCACCATATCATTGTCATGCCACTGTCATAGTTTATACAGTATATATCAAGTAAATGCACTGTTCATCAATTTGCAATGGAAACACTACTGGCAAAGCAGAACTGGTTTATTAAGCTATATGTATTATTGATTCAATACCACTTGGGCGAATTGAGAGGTTAGATAAAAGTTAGGAACAAACTCTCACCATCCTATGAGTCCCAATTGGAGCAGCACTAGTAACATTATGGCAGCATCTGTCTTGGGTATTGGGGTTTGAAGGTCTAAAACGACGGTCAAGTGTAAAAAGGTAGCTACAGCCCACCATGTTGCATACAAAGCCACTCCGTTTTGCACCTGTAATAGAGTTAACAGATATGGTGTCCATATTAGGACAGCTTTAGTCCTGCTGAAACTGAGGTTGTCCTAGTATGGACCCCATAAACAAATAGCACATTTCTGTAACAAAAAGTAACTGTCCGGCACACGTGTGGAAGGTTTCTGTACGCAATGCAATGTTCTTGGAGAATCATAGAAAAAAGTTGAAATTATTGTACCAATATTCGAATGAGCCAGAGATCATTGTTGTGATATTTGTGGAGCCACGCGCCATAGACGACCAGGCCATAGCAGGCGAACAAGATAATCACACAGTTTGACATGGCCTGTAATGCTGTGATCAGGAGTGTTGGCACCATCTTTCTATGACACACACAGAAACTAGAAAATGTAATTTGTCTTGAGAAGTATACAAGTTAGTTCCTTATATTCAATGTAGAAACTCAAAACAACTCAAAACATCAAAACTTAAGGTTACTTAAGAAACCAAGAGCCTTGTGTTGGTTCTATGAGAATATGAGATAGACGGGATATGCCTGGGCATGTCCACAAGCTCGAACTAAACAATCACACAGCATCTGTTGGAGACAGACAGGATGAGTGGAGAATGAGGTGAGCCCCTCTCCTCCATAAAGGGACCAACTCGCCTGCCAACTGGTCATTCTCGAGCATGCCTTTCTTCCTTGCGCTCTTGCGAGCAGGGAAAAGTGGTGAGACATCGCACTCATATTCTCACAGAACCAGGATCTGGCTAACCAAGTAACCTTAAGTTCAATTTCAAATACTTGTTTCGATGTCTCACTATGGGATATGGCCAACTCCCGTAACGCAGACATGCTCTCCAAAGCCAGGGTAGTTCTAACATCACCCCTCTGAGGCTCCGACACTGAAGACAGTATGCGCCAATGAAGGTGCAGGGACGTCCAATCGGTAAAACCTCATAAAAGTATGAGGGGTGGCCCAACATTCCGCCTAGTAAATCTCTTTTAAAGAGATGCCTTTGAACAGTGCCCAAGAGGTAGTCAAACCTCTGGTGGAATGACCCATCAGGCCCTCCAGGGGCTGTTAACCCTTACTATTATAAGCTAATATATGGTGGAGACGCCCTTCTTCCATAGAATTGAAGGGTAGTGGGTCGAAAGCCATAAGCTCCAAGGTGAGACAATTGTAATTGCCGCTGACCTTAGGCATAAAGTCGGGGTTACATTGGAAAACACTGGGGCATACTGTAGGCACGAATGGTGGACTGACGTCATGACTACATCAAGCTTGTGATTCTTCAAATTTGTTGGATGCATTTGCTGTTTGTTTTGGTTGTGTTTCAGATTATTTTGTGCCCAATAGAAATGAATGGTAAATAATGTATTGTGTCATTTTGGAGTCACTTTTATTGTAAATAAGAATATAATATGTTTCCAAACACTTCTACATTAATGTGGATGCTACCATGACTAACGATAATCTTGAATTAATCGTGAATAATGATGAGTGACAAAGTTCCAGATGTACAAATATCATACCCCCCCCAAAATGCTAACCTCCCCTGTTATTGTAATGGTGAGAGGTTAGCATGTCTTGGGGGTATGATATTTGTGCTAGTTGGTTTGGGGACAGTGCTCAGTGGTGACTGACAAGTTGTCTTCCTGCCTCGGTTGTTTGTGAGAGCGCTGAGAGGAGAGCAGTGACACAGGGGGCACTCGTCTACCCTGTGAGCGGATGCATAGAAAGGATCCGCTGCACGAGAGGTAGGGTTCTAGGAGCAAAGATGGGCCTCTCCCCCATTTTGATGGGGGGTAAAGTCTGTACTCCACCCGAAAAGAGGCAGGGCAGGACACAGAGTGGATTGTTGGCTGCCACTCACTACCACTGGGGGGCATACACCTAGGTCTTCCCTCCTGGGGAGTCAGGCGGGCGGGACCCCGGTGCGGAAGCAGTGAAGGACCACTTCCCCCACTGTCTGCCTCTGTTAGGAGAGCCAAACTGTAGGTTTGCAGCCTGCTGCATTGCTGGGGACTTTGCGTTACGGAAAACCCTGGTGCCAGCTAGTTTCCCTCTCCTTCCCACGAAGCCTTGGCTCATGAAGGGGACTTCACCTTCCTTGCAAAGTTCTCACTTCTGTCGAATGGCAGCGACAGAAGGCTCAAACAGGTTCTTCGGCGCGATAGGAACGTCGAGGAAATCATATTTTTCCTTGTTCATTTGGCTGGAAAAGTTGAGCCACATGGCTCTCTCCCCCACCAACACAAGGCTCATGGTGCCCCCGCAGCCTTGGATGGCAGCCCTAGAGGCTCAGAGGTTGAGATCCGCAACGACGCAGATATTGTCCTGATGGTCTTGGCTGGCTGTGCCTTTGACTAAGAGAGTGCTCATCTCTTGTAGCAAATCAGCCTAGTGTGCCAGGAGTAGGGACGTTACGTTCAATGCCCGTACTGAACGTGGTGCAGCAACGTAGACCTTTTGGAATATGGAGGCGGTAAAGTGCTCTGTCTTCCTAGGGAAAGCAGTGCTGGTCATAGACAAGACACTGGCGTTGAGGTGTCTAGACAGTGAAGGCTCGACCACCGGAGGCTTGCCGAGGCCTAATTCCTCCATGCACTGGATGTCCATGCCAACAAAGTGCCTGGTTTGGACCCACTATATATTCAGTGCATTCGAAAAGTATTCAGACCCCTTGACTATTCAAATTTTGTTACAATACAGCCTTATTCTAAAATGGTTTAAATTGTTATTACCCCTCATCAATCTACACACAATACCCATAATGACAAAGCAAAAACAGTTTTTTAGAAATGTTTGCAAATGTATTAAAAAAAAACTTAAATATCACATTTACATAAGTATTCAGACCCTTTACTCAGTACTTTGTTGAAGCACCTTTGGCAGCGATTACGGCCTCGAGTCTTCTTGGGTATGATGCTACAAGCTTGGCACACCTGTATTTGGGGAGTTTCTCCCATTCGTCTCTGCAGATCCTCTCAAGCTCTGTCAGGTTGGATGGAGAGTGTCGCTGCACAGCTATTTTCAGGTCTCTCCAGAGATGTTCAATCGGGCTCTGGCTGGGCCACTCAAGGACATTCAGAGACTTGTCCCGAAGCAACTTCTCCCCCGATTGCTCAGTTTGGCCGGGCTAAAGCCTTACGTCGATGGCTAACCAAATCTCGATAGCTAGCCATGTGGTGCTAGCTAAATGGAGACTGACGAGTAAAATAATAAATAATTATACTCAAAGCAAAACCTTTTGGTCAGTACTCAACACTATCGACAGAAGCTGTAGTTCTACGTTCAGCAGCTTTAACCTCACGGTTCGCCTGAGAACGGTTCAGTAGGAAACCAGAAATCTAGTCCTGCTGAGGAGAGCTTTTGTGAAGGCTTCCGCAAGAAGGAGAGGCGAGAAAGACCAGTTGCCAGTTACTTCGAGCTTGTGGACACACCCAGGCATATCCCGTAGTGAGACATCGAAATGAGTATTTGAAATAGAACCAAATGTTTTATATTATCGTACAGTAACTACACAAAAATATATAAACACTTACTCTTTGTCATACAGAAATAACCATGCCATATTCAACATGCTATTTACGATCCAGGACAAGTAGAATCCATAGGGCAGGACAGCAGGAGTGGTGTACATCCATGTATAGGCTTCCCTAAGGAACAGGAACATCATCAGTTGATCATCATCATCATCATCATTATCATAATTAATAACAACAACAACAAGGTCATCATCACCATCATCATCATCATCATCAGGGCCAGGACTAGGGTTGCAAGATTCCACTAACTTTCCCTAAGTGTCCTGGTTTTCCAGAAATCCCGGTTTAAAGTTTCCCGTAATAGGGAGGGAATAAGCACACCAACCAGGATTTTTTGAAAACCAGGGAATTTGGGGAAATTCTGCAACCCTAGCCAAGACAGTAAAAATCACACTTTCTGCACTTAAAATAATACACTTTGTTTTGTCTCACTTAGGTGAGATTGCAAATAAATACAGGCCAGTGATTTCAGTTAGATGTCAGTTAGCGTGCATGCCAGTCTGTTTCAACTCTCTTGCCAACTCCTTATGGAATTGTCATTTTTGGCTTGACAATGAGTGACAAGGATTTTGGCAAAATAGCAGGAACAGATCTGGGACCAGGCTAACATCCAGTGCAATGTTGATCGAATTCCAGCCAGGTTTTGGGTTGACAAATTACCAAAATATCTGAATGACCCATGTTTAAATGAGTGTTATAGTGTCAACGAGAGTTTAGCTTTAATGTACAGTATCTTACCTTCTACGGAGCTTGTGTATCAGATAGATGAACATGCCGATCAACCAGACATTAAGGACATCCCATAGAAAGAGTACCCATCTATCCGGGGTTAGGTGAGTTGTGGACTTGCTCAGTACATATTGTGTGGTTTGCATGAAAGCACCTGCATGTTCAAACACACAGGTTACAAAATATTAAAGTATATTTCAAATAGATGTCATTGACTTGAAGTGGACTGTAAGAATTCACCTGTCCAGGGCCCAAATAGAGCCAATATGTTGAATGTCAGTGCAATTAGATAGCTGATTAGGGCCAGAAACATCAGCAGAACACGGACTGAGATGCACTCTCCCATGGTCAGTATCTAAGGACAGAAGTACAGAAGTAATTTCAGTACAGTCGTTTCAAAAAATGTCAGTACATTCATTTCAGAAGTCATTTTAGTCAGAAGCCACTCCTAATTTCACTATGTCAATAACATCTTGATTATTATTGGCACCTTATACATCAACCAATTAAATAGTTTAGATGTCTGTGCTTTACCCCGCTGCACCACATTAGGCAGTTTGTTTCGTTTCACAGTGTTCCTCAGACAGCCCTATTCAACATTATTACACTACAACAATGCATAGATTGTTCCTAATACAATGAAGTGGATTGTTCCTAAATTATACTGTAATAAGACTGATGAACATATGTGAAATAGAATGTCTTACCTTACTGTGGTGGCCCTGAAATATTGTTAATCCCTTCTAGGATAAACCTTCTAGGATATTCTGTGGAAAAAGTATGTTTTGCTACTCCTGCTATCTCCACAAATCATAAATAGATCTACCCATGGCTGGAGAGAGATATGAGTGAAAGTAGGAGAGACTCCTCCTCTATCTCCATTCACAAGCCCACATGAAGTCATTATTGAAGGACAATCTGCGTCATTGTGTCAGGAACAAGCCGTCTCATTGTTGTGATAATGTCAACCCTTACCCAACGTTGAATAGGCCATGGCTTAGGAACATTGTGGAACAAAACAAACTGCCTTTGCTGTCTAGTGGAGTAGATCACCTCAATGTTATGCCATTGAATAAAAGAAGAGCCTGTACCTCACTCAGATATCTTAACAATCTAACTGGCTAATGTATTCTATGGGGCCACAAGATGTCAGAGCTACTCTAGGTTTTTATAACCGTGTTGTAACAGCATGTGATATACAGCCTTATACCACACAGTGTCGCTCGCCATTGCATTAGATTAAACCAGTAGACGTACCGTGCACTTTGTATATTACCATGGGAATTTCTGCCATCAATTCATTCTTCCGCCAGATAGCATGACCTGCAGCTCAATTCCTGTTTACGTGTGTACTGCTTTTAAAACACATCACTGAGCTCTTAACAAAATATCCACACTGGCAATAACTGGGCAAGGTTTCTTCATCTCAAGCATAATGTTTTCTAATAAACTTACTGAAGGACTAACAGAGTTGCAGTAATTCCCCACTGCTGTCCGGGCAGCGTAGAGTTACTACAGTACATTGTGGGCCTCCTGTAGCTCAGTTGGTAGAGCATGGCGCTTGCAACGCCAGGGTTGTGGGTTTGATTCCCACAGGGGGCCAGTATGGAAAATGTATGCACTCACTAACTGTAAGTCGCTCTGGATAAGAGCTTCTGCTAAATGACAAAAATTTAAAAATTTAAAATTGTGTACTGATGGGTATTGTTCTTGTTAGCCATTTGATTCTATTATTTCTGCTCTGGCGGGTGAGGAGGCGGGCACCGTGGCACTGCTCGGTTGGTGTTCCACCTCCCGACGGAGTCCTCGACCCAGAGAACCTGCTCTGACGGTTCACGCGTCCTGCCCCAGATGTTGCCCCGTGGTGTAGGCCGCTTTAAACAGTCTGCATAATTAATGAAGCACTCCCCAGGGACACCCGGGATTAAGAGCTTATGAGCTCTCATGCACACTCTCTCTCTCTCACACACACACACACACACACACACACACACACACACACACACACACACACACACACACACACACACACATACATACGCACACACGCACGCCTGCAGGAACGCACAGCATCCACACACAGGCAGGCAACCAGCCAGGCAGACACACACGCAAGTAAGCACGCACCCACACTCACACGCATGTGTTGTTTGTCCTTACGTTTGAAGATAATTATTTTCCTTAAATTCCAGTAACTTCAAGTAACTTCCAAGTACTCCCATAATTCACCCCGTGTTTTTCAGAAATCCTGGTTGGAAGATTCCGGATTTCCTGTTTATTCCCTCCTATTTAGAGAAGTCTTCAAACATGGATTTCTGGAAAACCTGGGAATTTGGGGAAAGTATTTTGCAACCCTATGCAGATGACAGATACTAATCCTATCTCTTTTCCCACATCAGAAGTTTATGACCTAAAGAAACCTAGCAGAGATCAAGGCACAATTTGTCATTCGCTCTTCACTTAAGGAGAGAATTAATATCCAATTACATACACGCCATCTTTTATCATTCATATGATGATGGATACTGCTCACGACAATTCTATCACTATACACCCCTATCTGTCACTTGGACTGATCTGTGATTCAAGCACTAATTAACTAAGACCGTAAGTTATAGAAGGCAAACGCCACTGAAGTCGTCGAAATCATTAACCAAAATATTTGCACAATCTAAGATTGGATTTTTTTATGACAGAGACCATCAAAACGTATTTGTACGCTGTCCATATTAGGACAGCTTCAGTCTCAGCAGTAGTTGTTGAGACTGAGGCTGTCCTAATATGGACACTGTGGACATCGTATATTATTAAATCAAATAATATCCCCAATTCTTGATATCTGCACCATGAAATGCCAAATGAAACACTACTCTGTTGTTAAATACCAGACCCCGGAAAGGGCAGACAGAATCTATGAAGAATGGTTTCCGCAATGGCTACAACACTGATGCCTTACAGCTACTGTCTGTATGTTCAATCAATACAACTATTATGACTACACTACCTTGTCAAAAGTTTTAGAACACCTACTCATTCAAGGGTTTTTCTTTATTTTTACTATTTTCTATATTGTAGAATAATAGTGAAGACATCACAACTATGAAATAACACATATGGAATCATGTAGTAACCAAAAAAGTGTTAAACGAATCAAAATATAAACCGCGGTGTCTTTGTGAGATGCGGTGTGGGTGAACGGATGATCTCCGCATGTGTATTTCCCACCATAAAGCATGGAGGAGAAGGTGTTATGGTGGGGGTGCTTTGCTGGTGACACTGTCTGTGATTTAGAACTCAAGGCACACTTAACCTGCATGGCTACCACAGCATTCTGCAGCGATACGCCATCACATCTGGTTTGGGCTCAGTGGGACTATCATTTGTTTTTCAACAGGACAATGACCCAACACACCTGCAGGCTGTGTAAGGGCTATTTTACCAAGCAGGAGAGTGATGGGAGTGCTGCATCAGATGACCTGGCCTCCACAATCCCCCAACCTCAACCAAATTGAGATGGTTTGGGATGAGTCGGAGCGAAGAGTGAAGGAAAAGCAGCCAACAAGTGCTCAGCATATATGGGAACTCCATCAAGACCGTTGGAAAAGCATTCCAGGTGAAGCTGGTTGAGAGAATGTCAATAGTGTGCAAAGCTGTCATCAAGGCAAAGGGTGGCTATTTGAAGAATATCAAATATCAAATATATTTTGATTTGTTTAACACTTTTTGGGTTATTGCATGATTCCATTTGTGTTATTTCATAGTTTTGATGTCTTCACTACTATTCTACAATGTAGAAAATAGTAAAAATAAAGAAAAACCCTTAAATTTGTAGGTATTCTAAAACTTTTGACGGGTAGTGTATCTGACTATACATAATGATTTTTAGCAGCATTTGATTTTATATCAATTAATTCCACAGGTACTTCTGAATCATTTCCAGGGGCTCCTGCCAATTCCATCTGGCCTTAATAAGGTCCCATTGTTTCCATGGCTACAGCAATGATGCCCCACAGTGCTCTCTGTCTGACATGCTGGCACCTGCAGTCATAGATCAGCATCACACAGTAGACCCAGTTTCAACCTAACCTGTTGGTGACCAGGCAAGTTTGGTTGAGGTGTTTTGTATGCAATAAATACATACAGTTGAAGTCGGAAGTTTACATACACTTAGGTTGGAGTCATTAAAACTCGTTTTTCAACCACTCCACACATTTCTTGTTAACAAACTATAGTTTTGGCAAGTCGGTTAGGACATCTACTTTCACTGTATCACAATTCCAGTGGGTCAGAAGTTTACATACACTAAGTTGACTGTGCCTTTAAACAGCTTGGAAAATTCCAGAAAATTATGCCACGGCTTTAGAAGTTTCTGACAGGCTTATTGACATAATTTGAGTCAATTGGAGGTGTACCATTGGATGTATTTCAAGGCCTACCTTCAAACTCAGTGCCTCTTTGCTTGACATTATGGGAAAATCTAAAGAAATCAGCCAAGACCTCAGAAAAGAAAATTGTAGACCTCCACAAGTCTGGTTCATCCTTGGGAGCCATTTCCAAACGCCTGAAGGTACCACGTTCAACTGTACAAACAATAGTACGCAAGTATAAACACCATGGGACCACGCAGCTGTCATACTGCTCAGGAAGGAGACGCGTTCTGTCTCCTAGAGATTAACGTACTTTGGTGCAAAAAGTGTAAATCAATCCCAGAACAACAGCAAAGGACCTTGTGAAGATACTGGAGGAAACAGGTACAAAAGTATCTATATCCACAGTAAAACGAGTCCTATATCGACATAACCTGAAAGGCCGCTCAGCAAGGAAGAAGCCACTGCTCCAAAACCGCCATAAAAAAGCCAGACTACGGTTTGCAACTGCACATGGGGACAAATATCCTATTTTTTGGAGAAATGTCCTCTGGACTGATGAAACAAAAATAGAATTGTTTGGCCATAATGACTGTTGTTATGTTTGGAGGAAAAAGGGGTTGGCTTGCAAGCCGAAGAACACCATCCCAACCGTGAAGCACGGGGGTGGCAGCATCATGCTGTGGGGGTGCTTTGCTGCAGGAGGGACTGGTGCACTTCACTAAATAGATGGCATCATGAGGAAGGAAAATTATGTGGATATATTGAATCAACATCTCAAGACATCAGTCAGGAAGTTAAAGCTTGGTCGCAAATGGGTCTTCCAAATGGACAATGACCCCAAGCATACTTCCAAAGTTGTGGCAAAATGGATTAAGGACAACAAAGTCAAGGTATTGGAGTGGCCATCACAAAGCCCTGACCTCAATCCTATAGAAAATGTGTGGGCAGAACTGAAAAAGCGTGTGCGAGCAAGGAGGCCTACAAA